ATTAAGTGAAGCTAAATGTTCATCTTGCAGTAAACTTCATGTTTGAAAATCATGTTCATCTCAACATGCTCAAAGCCATACCTTGTGGCAAAGATGAACACACCGAGTTGGTGTGTAGGAACACTGATTTCGATGCCATTTTTGCTTCTTTGGATAACATCAGTGCAACTCCTTGTGTATGTGAAGCATTTTACTCTTCATGACCAAAGTATAACAGCAGTTCACCTGAAGCTAGTCTCAGTTGTCCTACCTGTGTCCAGTGTGTTTCACTGATGCTGAGCACCTCGACGTTGTATCTTTTCATTTCTGCCGCAACTTGAAATAGTCTTCCAGTCTCCCACAATGTACGAACGTTCCATATACCTGAAAGAATGGTTACTCTGGTTGTCAGAAGAGGCATCGGCCTCGTGACCTCCGAAGCAAGTCGGCGTTCATCACGAGACGTCATAACTCTCTCTCTCTCTAACTCCGAGGACAGAGTTAAAATGGTTTGATTTGTTTTTTCTGGTTAGCATTTTTATGGCAAGTTAGTTTTTGACGGGATGTGATCGCCAACCCCATGCCCATTCGTCCTCCTTTATTCAGGCTTGGGACCGGTTGTAGCGCTGAAGGTTCTACTGGCGCAGTTATGCTCGATACAGTAACTCACAAAGTTTCCTGATTAGTACTCAATGTGAGCCATCGTGGAAGTAAATTCGGATATAGAATCAGTTAGCCTCTTCATTTACAATTCCAACGCGTTGATGGATTGATGACTTGGCTTAAATTAATTAGCTTTAGTATAATGTTATCGCTCCTATTGAACGGCTAAAAGTTTAATAAAGAGTAAGATTCGTCCGAAATGTATATAAATAAATCAAAAATAAGACACTTGGTATATATCATTGGTGAATAAACTTGTGAATGATTCGGTGGTTACTCAATAATACAAGTTGTCTCTCAGTCGAACCAGTACAACACTTCTATCATGTGCATATTCATGAAATTAGTTTTCCACACAACAGTCGAATTGAAATGTTTTGCAGATGGCGTACTGAATTAGGAAATTATGCATTTACTAAGCAAAATTAACGATATATATCTATCCGAAAGTGTGGAAGAACACCTCACCTCACATATTACATTCGTTTCTACACTGAACGTCATAATATATGTCGTCATGAATTTGAACATGAACTAAGGCAATGTGATATTGGTTCATGTTCCTAATGACTGAAGTCTCCATATCTGATTCTATCAGTTTTAATCAGTTTTTTTTTGAGATTGCTTTCGAAAAATTAAAATTCTCTCGGTACTGTAGCCTTACGGAGTTGAGGATTTTTGTTATCCACTCAACTTATCCAACACAAACTTTGGCTGAATGTCACTAAACGTGTCACTTATTCATGTTACTGAGTCGCTATATAAAATATAATTACATTCCTAACGAACATTCGTATGTGTGACTACGGTAATTACAAGCCAATTACGGATTTCATTGGATGAGTTTATTTCAAGCAATCGTTCATGCAGACAGACATAAAAACAAAACGCCATCAAACTGAGGAAAACATAGTTGAGAAGGCGAGATGGACAACGGTGGGCACTGTATAACGTAGATTTAGATGCGTCAGTCTAGACTTACTAACGCATTTACATCGATACGAAGAATAGTGAAATAGATGGGCTTTCCGAAATTCAGAAAAACAGTGAACAATCAAATGAAAACCACAAGAGCGTCTGATTTTGATATCCGTTATGGCAGTGATCAGTGACCAGAGACCATGTTCGTTCGTGGTTTACACCATCAATAAGAAACACAAAACACCTTATTCAGAACCGAAAATAACACACATTTGAAGAAAATTCACTATCATTGCACTCATATTACTGAAACATTTAGTTTCAATGAAATATTCTCATCCAAAAAGTGCTTTCGTAACGTCTGAGTTTGATTAATCTCTGCTGTTTTTCAGTAGGCGTTTGTAGGTCACTCACTCACGTATATAATTGCAAAGTGAATTCCATTCAAATGACAATCACGAACACAATGAACATCATCTCGTCTATTCGATTAGAAAAACTGCGTCGGCTGATTAAAAAAGAAAAGCACCATAATTCTTCATATTTTTACTGAAAATTAAGGTCATCAGACATTTATTCCTGTTTACTAATTAGTCTGTCGGAAACACCATCATTTGAAAAACAAAATGTTTCAATTTTTTTATTCAGTAAAATAACCCCAACAGTAGTGAATTAACGCAATGATTTTATACAATATATATATTGATTTGTCAAATTCAAGATGATTCAAAATCTGTCAAGTTCCCTTTCCGAATGAACAATGCTCACAGTGTCAGCAGGCATAGAAACGGAGCATATTGAGTCACTGGAGTGAACACATGCGTTTCACAAACATCAATGAATCTATTGATTTCTCCATGCTAAAAGAGGTTTAGTACACGTAATGGTGATGTTTCCTTAAACCGAAAACCCTTTGTTTGGTAACTATCAGACTCATTATTTACTAGTCTGAATGACTTTAATGCGTAATGAGCCACTTGTTCATATTTCCCCTGATGTCAAACGTTGTTAACCACTGACGTATATGGACCACAAGTGAAAGTCGTCTATACCACTAATCTTCTACTTCAACCTCATTTACGTAACCTGCTCAGATATGAGCATCAGACATGCTTGACGTCATTTGCTGTGTAAGCCAGAACATCGAATAGAAAATAATTCCACTTTCTTTATCAACTAGCTCAAATACATTTGGAGAAAATGAAAAAAACCACAACAGCGTCTATTTTTGATATCGGCTATGGCAGTGATCAGCGACCAGAGACCATGTTAGTTCGTGGTTTACACCATCAAAAGGAGGAAACATAAAACACCTTATTCAGAACCGAAAATAACACACATTTTAGGAACATTTACTATTATTGCACTCATATTACTGAAACATTTAGTTTCAATGAAATATTCTCATCCAAGAAGTACTTTTGTAACGTCTCAGTTTGATTAATCTCTGCTGTTTTTCAGTAGGCGTTTGTAGGTCACTCACTCACGTATATAATTGCAAAGTGAATTCCATTCAAATGACAATCACGAACACAATGAACATCATCTCGTCTATTCGATTAGAAAAACTGCGTCGGCTGATTAAAAAAGAAAAGCACCATAATTCTTCATATTTTTACTGAAAATTAAGGTCATCAGACATTTATTCCTGTTTACTAATTAGTCTGTCGGAAACACCATCATTTAAAAAAAACAAAATGTTTCAATTTTTTTATTCAGTAAAATAACCCCAACAGTAGTGAATTAACGCAATGATTTTATACAATATATATATTGATTTGTCAAATTCAAGATGATTCAAAATCTGTCAAGTTCCCTTTCTGAATGAACAATGCACACAGTGTCAGCAGGCATAGAAACGGAGCATATTGAGTCACTTAAGTGAACACATGCGTTTCACAAACATCAATGAATCTATTGATTTCTCCATGCTAATAGAGGTTTAGTACACGTAATGGTGAAGTTTCCTTAAACCGAAAACCGTTTGTTTGGTAACTATCAGACTCATTGTTTGCTAGTCTGAATGACTTTATTGCGTAATGAGCCACTTGTTTATATTTACCCTGATGTCAAACGTTGTTAATCACTGACGTATATGGACCACAAGTGAAAGTCGTCTGTACTACTAATCTTCTACTTCAACATCATTTATGTAACCTGGTCACATATGAGCATCAGATATGCTTGACATCATTTGCTATGTAGGCCAGAACATCGAATAGAAAATAATTCCACTTTCTTTATCAACTAGCTCAAATACATTAGGAGAAAATGAAAAAAACCACAACAGCGTCTATTTTTGATATCGGCTATGGCAGTGATCAGCGACCAGAGACCATGTTAGTTCGTGGTTTACACCATCAAAAGGAGGAAACATAAAACACCTTATTCAGAACCGAAAATAACACACATTTTAGGAACATTTACTATTATTGCACTCATATTACTGAAACATTTAGTTTCAATGAAATATTCTCATCCAAAAAGTGCTTTCGTAACGTCTGAGTTTGATTAATCTCTGCTGTTTTTCAGTAGGCGTTTGTAGGTCACTCACTCACGTATATAATTGCAAAGTGAATTCCATTCAAATGACAATCACGAACACAATGAACATCATCTCGTCTATTCGATTAGAAAAACTGCGTCGGCTGATTAAAAAAGAAAAGCACCATAATTCTTCATATTTTTACTGAAAATTAAGGTCATCAGACATTTGTTCCTGTTTACTAATAAGTCTGTCGGAAACACCATCATTTAAAAAAAACAAAATGTTTCAATTTTTTTATTCAGTAAAATAACCCCAACAGTAGTGAATTAACGCAATGATTTTATACAATATATATATTGATTTGTCAAATTCAAGATGATTCAAAATCTGTCAAGTTCCCTTTCTGAATGAACAATGCACACAGTGTCAGCAGGCATAGAAACGGAGCATATTGACTCACTGGAGTGACACTATATCTGACAGTTCAATTCCGAATCAAATTTTGGAAATGATGAAAAATTGACTCATAACATTACTTCAGATGTAAGAGTGGCAATCGATTCGAACTTACGCGAATAATCCTAGTTGAGTTATAGTTTCGAATCATCGGAACAGATCGATAATGACAAATGTCATGAGTTTAATAAATTCTGACGTGAAATGTTTAGTGAGAAATCCTACCTATTCAATCGATATAGAATCACCAGACTGAGTAAATTCATCTAATTTAACAATAAACATCATACATTATTACCATTGGACGTGAAGTAAATCATGTGACCGAAAAATCATCTACACAATTTCATCACATCATTTTATACTACTAGCTATTAATTCAGTAGACAACTCATTCTATTTGAAAAAGTCAATTAAAATGGCAACAAAAAAATTTATATTTTTTGTAAAAACGATGATAACAGAAATGTCATTATTTTTATCATACACTTTTCTTTTGATAAATGATATTTTCACGAAAATTCAATGTTCAATTCCTTGGCATTTTTGCTTTCACTTCTGTAATTGACTGATTATTATTCTTATTAGTGATAGATTGTAATGATCTTTTCATTGCTGATTTACGTTGTGACACTGGATTAACTTGCTACATTGTTTATTGAACAAAATAGAAATACAAATTGAATGGGTTATTCATTAGAAGATAAACTTTAGCTTGTGGTTGGTATAAATTTGTATGGGAGAAAAAAAACAATTAGAAAGCTAACTGGAATCTGGTAACAGCAGTAGTAAGAGGTATAGACACTATAACTAGAGAGGAATTAGCAATTTCAAAACTCAGGATTGAACAGAAGATAAGGAAAGTGTGAATGAATCTGCTCCCCATTGAAACTGATTTTCTATCGATGTTACTCAAAGTCTCTAAACATTAGTTGAGATCAACATGTGAACGTTGACTAAGTAGAATGCACTTACCAATATTATCAAATCCAATAATCAGTGATAGAATATATGGATTCCGTAAAATACTGACCCATTACTGTTGGTATACCCATACCAACTAGATTGCCAATCTGAATATTACATTTTATCTCATTAATGTTAAATATTCTTGTTGAAATAACTTGAAGCTTTCAGTGTTAATGATACTAATAATACCATCAGCATTTCAATTTCTCTCTACATCTCAACTTCTTAACCTTGTGTGTATGTGAAAACAACATTACTAAATACTAAATTGGGTTAGCCCACATGTAGTAAGTAGTCTACAAATTTGTCAGAAATATTCATTGTTCATGCTATACTAGTGTTATGGTTCGTCACTTGGTACGCTTGAAGCTGTTACGAGTTTACCTTAGTTGATAAACGCAAACGAGACAATGAACCAGCGTCTAGGTAGGCTACCTTGAATCCCAAGCTGTAACAGAAGGCTTTGTAAGCGTAGAAAGTGTATTCTACAACAACACCCAGCAATCACAATACAATCAACCACACAACTCTCGTTTATTTATACATCATAGAAACGTCCTTGAGACAGTTACGAAAATAGCACACTAAAATACCACATCAGCCAAATACAGCCATGGATTTTCCTGATGGGAAATGAAATCTCAAGATCAACTGATCAGCCTATGCTCGCAAACATGAAATCCAAAATAAGGCATTTATCAAGCGAGTTCTGAGGATCTAACATTCCCAACAACTAGTTTGTTTGTCTAAATCGACGTACAGACCATTGGCCATAGTAATAAAATCGTTGATTCGAAATAACATTTGGACACATCGTCACCGGTTGTAAACTGTGTGAGATTAGGGAATTTTTCAATGTTGTGCCAATTATATCTCTACAGAATTTTGATTGAAATCATGGTAAACAAACAGAAGAAGAATTTTCTTCATTAGTTTTTCATCATAGCTCTACATATATATATATATATATATATATCAAATACAAGTTTTATCAAAACTGATACAACTTACTCGACTCCAAACAGGTGTTACAGTAGTATGTGATTTCAATAGGTTATTTGATGAATCACTTTTCAAATTTTCATGATGCATATCAACAGTTGTGCGCATTATACTACTACTAGATGTTGTGCTGATGTCATTCACCTTTCGATTTTCTTTATCGCCAACATCATCATCATCATCACTGTCATAATCATCTAGATATTGACTTGTACAGTTCTCTCCATTGTCAACATTGTCGTCATCATCAGCATCAGCATCCGCATCATCATCATTTGTATGTGCCTCATCTCCTCCGCCGTCTTCAATCTGATTATCACCAATCACAACTTCATCATCATCATCACCGTTGTTGTTGTTGTTGTTGTTGTTTAGATTCTCAACGACATTGTCTTCAGGTTCACTGTGATCACTAAGACTACTAACACTTAATGCAGCTGATTGTTCTAAATGTGCAGCCACCGCAGCTTGATTAATACGAAAATCACGTGCTGTACTCAATTTCACATTACGCATAAGATTAATCTGTAGAGATAATACAGAAAAAAATTTGAAACCAACACATTGAGAGATTGAAAAAAAAATGCGCTGAGTTATTGAAAGAAACTATTTTAAGTTAATCCGCTTTTATGGGGATAAGTTGTAGTAGATTTTTATATGCAGGCGAACTATCAAGCGAATAGGTTCGAAGAAAAAGCCAGATAAAGACACTTCTAGTTCATATATCAGTCATATGATAAATGAAATTAAATCATTGAGGTTCGATTCTGTCCCCCAAACAAAGCAGTCGCTATAAGAGTCCGCATCCATAAGCCCTGTTTGTTATTGATAACAAAGTCGCTCGATTGGATGAATATGACTCAACAAACAATTTTATTGATTCTTTTTATATCTTGTATTTGTTTGTCATTTCTCACCTCAATTGTCACAGATATCACCAACATAACAAAACCAAAGAGCACTGAATATTTTGTTTCATTTTAGTATGAGACTCCAACAGAACACAAACGCAAAATACTTCAGTTGTCGCACAAAGATCAAGCATGTGTCATTAATCACAGCGTGTTATATCGAGAGTTTATTCCAGTTGAAGATGTGTATGCGACTACGGAATGTCAAACCAATAGTTTCGATAAACCAGGCAAATTATGTGAGATGACTTAGCTTAATCAAAATGAATAACGAGTTCATTTAACTGGATAGTATCTTCATAAACTGAGACAGTTTTTAAAAAAAAACAGAACATTTTCGGCTATCTGAAGCAAAGATATGATTTTATGAAGGGATTCAACTTTGAAGTATTGCTGGGGTAAACTAGAGACCAGTTTTATTTAGTTAGATGGAAAGGAATGGTTTTTAAGTGTCAAGTGTAGAGACCTGAACTGCAGGAATCAGTATGTAATGTTAATCAGTGTCAAAATGCAGTATATCATGGAATCATTTAAGCGGAGAAACTGGGGATTAAAGTTTAAAATCTAACCAATTTAACTACTTCGTACTGTGGAATTCATTACAGATGAATTTCCAATTTTCATGCCTTCAAGCAGCTTTATCTGCACAACTTATAATTAGGTGAATTTTGTAAATTTTCGTTTTCATCAATAAATGAAAAGTTATTGTGGTAAGAGACGAATTTTGTTTGTGAAGTGGCCATTCAGTGACATTTGATTAGAGATGATTGCAATTCACCGAAATTCAATACTAAAAGGTTTCATTCGACAATTCCGAATGTCATTAATTCCGCATTGCCTGTGCAAAGGCAGTGGAACATGGCCAGTCAGAGTAGTATATATTCGTAGATGTCACCGAAGCATTGCTCATGTACCGTTTGACAACCGAGTAAGCGATGCAGTTGTTAGGATGAGGGTCCTAGGTAAGGATGGTCAGTCAATGGATGAAGTATTGAAACTGCATCTGTTGAGGTGGTTTGGACATGTGTTCAGTATGCCTAACCACATTCATTACTATTTTACATATTAATCAATAATGTTATGCTCGTCAATTGATAAGCTTGAAAAATATCACGGGTTCAACTTAGTCAATGAACGAGAACAAGACAACGAACCAGTGATGGAAAAGTCTTGACACAGCGTACAAATTGTATTTTACAAACACTCAGCAGACACAATGATCTCTAGCACACAAATCGCGTTTATTTATACATCATAGAAACGTGCTTGTGACAGTCACACGAATAGCTTACTAAAATAACACTTCAGCTAATCACAGTAAAGGATTTTCCTGATGGGAAATATGATCTCAAGGTCAACCGATCAGTGCATGAATAAAATCCAAAATTAAGAAATCTATCAAGCGAGTTGTGGGCATCCCTAACAAATATAACTTCCATGACTGCATTCAAATTTAATTATGAAACGTTATTTAACTCGACGCATGTCTTAGAATTTTTGAAGTATTATTTGAAAGCATTTCATTTTAGAACACGCAGTAAATCAACACACAACAAATGGTCATCTTGACGTCAACAAAATCGAAACACAACAATGTATAGACTACAATAGAAAATCGTTTGTTTACAATTTCCTTCTCTAATTGGCTAATTTTCAACCGTACAATCAGAAATAAGAACTCTTATGTTGATAAAATGTATATAAATTTGATGAGTACTAAAATTATAACAGTTTGTCGACTGAACAAGGAGATGAGGTGATTATTGACTAGAATGTTTAATGTGAATAAGTGCATACTACACGTTTCTAATTCTAACTGTGAAACAACTGTGTTATTTCCATTTTGAATGTGTTTAGACCTGCTGATTCATCAATATTGTTACGGTTTTGCTTGTTGGGTGTTTTCATTCTGGAATTGTCAAACTGTTATGAGGAATGTCTTCCGTTTTACCACCTCCTGCAATCGAAATATGAAAAAATAATCGCAGAAAATATTTCTTACGCAAAAGTAACAAATCAATCCCGATTCTAATGAACATAAACAGTATGATAATTATTATTATTTACAGACAATCCGTTATGATCAACCAAATCCAGTCGAGAAAGAAAACTTACAATATGTTGGACCATTTAAAGTCAGTTTTAACATAGACATTAACAGAAATTATAATGAATGTAAATTATTAGTATATTGAACCACAATTCCCAACTAAATTTTTCGGTGAACAGTACAGTCTATTGACGCTAAATCCAACGGGTAAGTGTTATTTTCTGTCTATGATGGCTGTTACCGTCTACGACGATGTTTAGTAAGTTAATTTTAACTATGAATTAAGGTGGCTCTGATTTCCTTGTAGCAATTCTATCCTATTAATTAAAGTTACACATCAGACAATCATCAATTAGTTTATTTATTTTCAATAATGTGTTGCAGGTTCAATCAGCTTTCAAAGGTCTGAAAGGCAAATTACTAATGGCGACATTGGCTTGCTCTTTGATTTTAAACAACAGGCTATCAATTTCGAGATCCTGAGTAATAGTGAGTACTCTTCTTAATTAAATCACATTTTCACAATTCATATTTCACACATTTATTCAATCTTTTGTAACTCGGATATCATAAAATCAGCTGGTCAACATAGAAAAATTTATCTTGTTTCATAATTCTATGTGCTTAACGTTGAATGTAAACATGTGTTTGTTTGTTGATTTCTCAAAAACAAACAAATGAAGACAAAAGATTCACTTTGCAATAATGATGAACTTAAACTGAGTTATGTGAACTGAAAAATGTATTAATAATAATAATAATGAAAGTTGAATTGTTAACAAACTATTGTTAGTAGAATTTTGACCATGTGAATAGATGAATTTCAGTCACAGATATTAATAGACATTGGATTCAACTTAAAGATGCATTCTTTGTTGACAAATATATATATATCGATATGTATATGTGTATATGTTTATATAACAACTGCATATTGTTATACTTTCAGAGAGTATGATTGCTGTGAAAGTGATATTCTCAAAGAATCAAAGTAAGTACAAGTGAAACAACACGCACGCAAAACTCCTTCACACAAAAAACATCATTCATTTTAACTACACTCATATTGTTCAATCTGTGTGATTCAATTTAGTTGAGACATAAACACTGACATTTCATTTCTGTGATTAGAAAGGCAATGCTAATTAATATTCATGGAACACTTTCGTCGTTAAAACACATTGACAATTACTGAGAGATCAGGTGAAATGCAATGAATTTGTCACGTTCTATTAGTTCGAAACCCGTGAGCATGATTTATTCACAACCTATAATGAGGAACAGATTGATGAAGATCAGTGAGTAGAACAGTCTTCTTTACAAATTCACTGATCTACAGGATTTTGAACGATCGGTAAACGATTGTATTGCGCTGAGAAATAACGTGAATGGAAGTAATTGCAAAGCAGAATGTTCGAATTTCTATTATTTGATCATGTGCTCGATTTTATTTGTAAAGTGTCAAAAATACTTTGAAAACAAGAATATTTCTCTTTGAAAGGAAAATGTTTAAAAAAATAAGCCTCAGTTACTCACTCAATTTCAATTGTATTTATTTGATTCGTCTATTTGGAGCTGGCTTGAACGCGAATTTTACTGTCAAACTCACAGAGGCAATGGAATGTACCACACACACTAAATGTACAACAAATTCTGGCTATTTGATGATGAGCACGTATGCAGTGTCAAACTCGAAAACAAAATTCTTGTTATCTATCTCTCACATTCCGAAATCGTTATTCTTTCTTCTACAGATTTGATAAAAATAACCTGTTTGTTGCATTCGGATGAGAAGATAACGTTATATTATGATGAAGTAAGCTGCGTGATTGAATGAATGAATGGAAGTATAACTTTTAGTGTTTCAGTGAAGTTCATCCTGCTACTAATTCGAAAGCAGTAGAATGTGTCAGAATGTATTCCGTAGAATGAAAATGATCACCATTTTGTGATGTGTATGCAAATTTCATGATAGTTTCATTGGTAATGTTGTAGCGCAAATTAATGTCAATTGAGCAAGTCCAGAGAGACGGTCATCAATAAATTCATACACATGGTACTTCACGTTGAATAATTAAAGCAATCATGTTACATGATTTCTTCGATACGATTTCTGCATACTAAATTACTAAACCGTAGCAACCGAATTCGGCATGTCAAACATTATTTCCTGCAGCTAGACTATTCAGATAATTCGTTTGAAACTATGTGAATGTAATTTTTACAGAATGCAGTAGCAGTTCAATAACCAGGGGAAATTTCGTAGTATGAGGGATTTTGTGTTTGTTGATCTGAATTAGTTTTTAAGGTCCTAAATTTATCTGCATACATCAATCAACTGAATATGATGTTATGATATGTAGTGGGAGAACCATGTTGACCTAATTTCACTCTATGATGAACACATGATGTACACACAGTGAAAATGCACTTCATTAAAATGATAAGTGAATATTCAATCTAATGTGTTTGGCCGGAAACATCAATGATGGTTACCTCTTCATCGAACATCAGTCAAACTGGAAAGTGAAATAAGTTGGCCTGACAGTTTCAAA